GCTTTCAGAGAGTGTTCACTTGTTTTCTTTCCTGTAAAGAGGGAATCTGATGAGTCAAAATCAATAGTGCCTCTTCTAACACCAACAAAGGAACTTCTAGACGGATTTAAATTTTTAGCCTTTGTCTTTAACTTTAAGAAGTTAATTTCAAACTCTTTCTTATCAACCTTGTAAAAATCATAGAAAGATTTCAAATCCTTGATTGTGACTAATGAATCTGAAATCTCACTAATGATTCCTTTAGCTATTGCAGCAACACCACCCCCAAATGGTTGATAAATTAAAACCTCATCACCTTGCCCAACCTCATCTGGTGTAAAATTCGTAATATCAATCCAGACCTTTTCATAAATAAATAAGCTTCTCAATATTTTGAGCTTACATTTTGTAATTGCATCTGGGAGTAATATCTTTAACTCAGCTGTCAACAATGTGTTCACAATTTTGTTTTGTGAATCATTTTGGAATCCTATGAATGCTTTTCCATCAGATTGCCAAAACTCATTTACCAACAAATAGGCTGAATTAATGATGGTTTTTTTGGTTTTGAAGGTGAATGATTCTTGATTATCTTGATTCAAATAATCCTCAAGAGTATTCATAAATTCAAGACATGAAGTTAGTATAGATTTATCTTCCATAACTTCGGCACATTTCTTTTCAATGGTACTGATTTGGGATTGTGTTAAGGAAGATTTAATTTCAAAGGTTGGTGATTCAGATCTTTCTTCTGGTTGACTTGATTTTTTAGATGATACAGATTTTTCTCTTGGCTTACTCACGGTTGTCTTTGTTCTGACCATTTTTTTGCTTGAGTTTTGAAAATAAATTCCGAACTCTTTCCTTTGAGTTGACTAAATTCCGATTTTCAAACAAGGAAGCATTTAGTTTCGGAAAAAAAGCAACAGAAAGAAATGAAACGAAAAGCAGGATTGCAACAGCTTCAGTCTGTTTCTAAGAGATTGGCCATTAATGGTAAATATTCAACTACTCACAACAAAGTTACTTCATTCGAAACTTCTGTTATTGGAAACAGGGAGCATAATGTTGAAAGTGATTTTATTCAAAAGGTGTATGATTGCATTGATATTGGAAATGGCGATTTTCATGTCAACTCCGATAGCAATATAGATAATACCTCCCTTAATGAACCCAATGAATCATCATTTCAAAGAAATATATTTAGTGAGGAAGAGTATCAATTTTTAAGAGATTATTATCAAGATAATGATTGTTGTTCTAGAAAAGATGAAGATATTTTAAGCAACCACTCATTTACAAGTATTGAAAAGGTTGTTAACAATACGAAACTAGATGAATTGATGAAAAAACTATTAAGATTTGCAGTAAAAGCAAAGCTTACTGAGACATGTTTATCACAAGCCTTAGAATTATTCAAGGAATCATTTTCATCGTTTGGTATGATTTCAAGTTCAGATTTAGAACACTTTACCTTAAAAGGTTTCTATCAATATTTTTATATTAATCAAAAAACAAGACTCATACGATATTGTATGAAATGTAAAGAATATGAGAAAAATCAAAGTACATCCGCTTGTAGTTGTGGTAAGAAATGGAAAGAGTTACCAACCTATTGTTATTTAAGACCTCTAAAGTTCCAAATGGATGAGAGATTATTCTGGAATCCCTCTTTCAGAAATCAATTTCAACAAGATATCAAAGAGATCAATGATAAAGATATTATTTCAGATCGTGTTCATGGATCAGTATATCAGAAATATCACCGTAAGGAATATGATGATGGTAAAACTGATTGCATAACCTTCTTTGGAGATTCTGTAAGCCCTTTTGGAACCAACACACATTCTTTCTATCAAGTTTCGTTCAATTTTACAGAAATGAAACCCCATTATAGAAAAAAACAATCCAACAACTTTTTATGGTTTATGGTACCCAGAAAACCCGATCATGAAGAGATTAAGTTATTTTTGAAAATACTAATGGATGATTTGAATCATTTTAATTCATTATCCAATCGGAAAATTCGCCTTGAAAGAATTGTATGTGATCTTCCAGCAAGATCTGAAATACTATTTTTCAAACAATCTGGAGAGTATTTTTGTCATCTTTGTTTGATTAAGGGTGAAAGTGTAGAAATCAATACAACTAAGCAAACAAGGTATCCTTTATCAGTAGACCCACTTACTGACCACTTTACACCACCTGCATACAGAACAAATGGGTATTGGAAAAAACAAAAATCTGATAATTTGGATCAAGGTATGAAATCAAAATCTCCAATTTTAAATCAAGATTGGAAGCCAACTCCCTCTCTAATATGTTGCTATGATTCTATGCATGTATTGTATGAAGGAATATTGCAGGATATGATGGCCATGATTCCAGTTTCTTATTGGGAGAAATTCGATCTCCTCTTCCTTAAACAAAAATATCCTTCATTTCTTCACAAACATCCTAGAAAAACAACTAATGGACAAACAATGAATAGTTTGAAAGCCATTGAAGTATATATGATAACTCATTATTATTTGGAATTATTTACTTGTATAGAAAATTATCAAGCAATTGAAAGAGAAGTTAATCTTATTCGCAGATTTGTTAATATCATAGATTCATTGACAGATTCATTCATATCTTCTGAATTGGATTCTATTGAACTTGAGCTTCTGCAGGTGTTAAAGGATTATCAAGATATTGTCTCCGTAAAGAAGGCAACTCCAAATTTTCATATTTGCACTGAACTTGTTACATGCTGTAGATTATACGGCCCTTTGGCAATGAATTCTGCCTTTATTGGAGAAGGACTTAATTTCACTCTTTCAAAAACATACGTCTGTTCCAATTCAGCAAGATATTCCATTATGTATTTTGATATGTGTCAATTATGTGATCTTCTTGATCTGAATGAACACTTAAATTCAGGACAATGTGTTGTTGGCCACTATGTAGTGAGTAAGAAACGAGATGTTTTGATGGATACAAAAACAAAGAAGGTTTATCAGGTAGCGTCCTTTTCCGATGACTATAATTCTATACAGCTTGCAGCTATTGATGATCCAGAACGAATCATTGAGATATCAAGGAAAAAAGCATTTAAAATGCTTCCGTGTGTTGTTCTTGACTTTCCAAATAGGCCTAAAAAGTATATTCCAGTTCATTACAACACATATCAATACATTTAATACAGAGTTTATTAATTTCTTGACTATGCGAAATTTCACATTGTTTGAAAAAATTTACAAGTCAGAACATTTTGTTGGGCATTTCGCTCGGAGCGCAAAAATCCATTAACAAAAAATCGTTAAAAGTCAAGCCAGCATTTGCGAAAAGGGTTTAGCGGGTATGTTAAAATAAATAAAACAAGCCAGAAACAAAATGACTCAACATAAATCCCAAACTGGTCGCCAAAATAACTCCCAAACAAGTAGCCAAATTAAATATCAAAATAACTCCCAAACAAGTAGTCAAATTAAATCTCAAAATAACCCCCCTAGTAGTCAAACCCCACAA